GCGGGGGGGGTGGGGGATGGGGGGTTGGTTTTCACTACTTTGGTTCTCGGTGCGGTGCTTGGTGTTGGTCCGTTCGAACGAGTCCAAGAAAGTCGATTCTTCCCGTGGAGAAACAACGCAGCCGTGTATTCTAGCGCGGTACATACGGTATCTCGTAGGGGGCGCACGGTGTACGCGGCACACGCCTCGCCGATGGTAGACGTCGATGGACCGAGCTGACGCTCGACCTAACCGCAATTTCGTGCGCAATTTCGCTTTCGAAAACGGAATCCCGTGTGTTGGGGGAGGGGGAGGGGGAGAACGTTGAACGATAGAACTCGCGAGACGTCGAACAAGACCGCGGCGCGAGAGTTTTCGTGGGGGTCGAACGAAAGAGGACTCCTCTTTCGTATACAGCGCGGTGGTGGTACGCGTCAGCGACGGCGCGAGCGCGTAAAGCCACTTTCGCAGTCGAAAGGGACAAAAAGAAGAGAAAGGAGCATCGATGCGAACGTTTCGAAGCTAACTGGCAGTGCAGCCGCGTGTAGCTTGCTTTGCGGCGGATATACAGGGTGTACCAAAAATGTCTCGCAATCCGAAAGTGACGGGTTCCTCAGGTCATTCGAAGCAACTTTTTCCTTTACAAAAATGTTCTCCGAGGGACCGTTAACGAGTTATTAACGAAAAACAGTGACCAATGAGAGGCGAGCTCGGCTGGCGCGAAGCGACCGAGCCAATGAGCGGAAATGGGCTTCGTGCGCTGGTTGGCTCGGCCGCCTCGCGTCAGCCGTACTCGATTCTTATTGGTCATTGTTTTTCGTTAATAACTCGTGAACGGTGCCTCGGAGAACATTTTCGTAAAGGAAGAAGTTGCTTCGAATGATCCGAGGAACCCGTCACTTTCGGATTGTGACATTTTTGGGACACACTGCATGTATCATTCGTGTTTTACAGCTCGGTATTCAACAGAGAACAACCGTGTGCGACTCCGCGCATCACAAACGTTACGTGTAACAACTAGTTTAAGGTTTAACGTTTACAATTTAAAGGTAAAAGAAAGATGAGATCAAACGTTTGATATATACGTAGACACGTTCGTTTTCGGTGTATGTCGGGCTTCCGCGGAGACAGAGATCGTGGGGTCGGACGATAAACATCGGGAGATCGAACAGGGAAACCAGGCGGGAAAAAAACACGTGCTGTCACGCAAATATCGGGTCGTGTCCTAAGTTCGTGCCGTATCCCGTATTCTTTTTTCTTTTTTAACACGTTGAATGTCACGCCGGTTTTACAGAAATTGTCCGTGGCGCCACGATGAATTTTCTTTCATGTGATACATATAATATTGAAATATTATCTGCAATAGATAAGTTACAGTGTATAACCATGTTTGACATGTTAATTGCGACGGGGATCACTGTTTGAATTGACGATGGCAATAATACAAAATTTTAGATATTGAAAATTATATATATTATAATATATATAATTTTCAATATCTATAAAATTTTGTATAAATAATATAATTATATCTATATTTTTTAAATTATATATATTTCTATCAATTTGGGCGCGCCGGTCACCAGTGGCCCCCATGGCGTCACCGCCAAGTTAAGTGCCGGTCACCGATGACCCCCGTGGCATTCAACGTGTTAAATATCTGTGGATAGATCATTTTGGGATGATCAGAATTTCAGACATTCGTCGGTTGGACGTTTAGAGAACGTGCTTGATCTTCGAGGCAATTTCCTTCACGAAATGAGCCGTTTATTTTGAAAGTGGCATAAGTCACTTTACCGTAATGAAAAGCGGTGATTTTTTAATGTTTATACGAAATTATTTATACTGAGAAAAATATCAGTATCCTGAGATAACAAATACAAGTAAATCTTCTCGAAAGTTAGCATCCATATTTTTAAACGTGTTAAAAAACGCGAACCCTTAAATATATCGACTTAAAAACAAAGTTACTTATGCCACTTTCAAAATAAACGGCTCAAATATCGATTAATGCTCGAGGAACGGAACCCTTCTTCGTAAAAAAATACATCCGAGCATGTATGGCGTCGTTTATAATTTTATTTATCAATTTTTTGGCAACAAGTTTTTCCGGTCCTCCTGCTAGAAATATTAATTTTTCTATAGACCACGATGAAACGTGTGCAAATATGTGTACCCGAATTACCAGAAACTGAATTAATCGAGTAACAATATTTATATACTTTGGGTCCGTATGGTCCCCAGAGCCTCAGCCGCAAGAAAATGAAGCATGTCACGAAACGTAAGAACACATTCGCGGGCACGAACTTGCGAGACGACCGAACACAAATTCCACACCATTTTTTACGTTACCGATTTCCGTTTCTCTCGGCCGTCCGCTGTTCGATCCGTTACGCACTGGTCGCGGGGCATTTTCAAAGAGTACTCTCTGGATGCTGCCTGGTCGAACCATCATTCTTCTCGTTTTCTTTTTCCCATTAATGCTTACGTTTGCATGCATATACCTGTTTCACGAGTGTTTTACATATCTCTATACACACGCGCGTGCGTATAACATTCGTATGTAATTTATATGTAATATGCGTACGTATACGTATATATTACTAACACATGCATCTACGAATATTCACATGATAGAACGATTGTGGTCGAGTGTTTCAGTGGTCAGCGATCGTTCGTTGAACGGGTTTCTATCGTAAGCTTAAATTATAGAGTAGAAAAAAATAGTAATCCTAATATGCTACAGTAGATGTACAAAGAGACTCGTGGCGTGTCCCAAAACAGAACCGGTCGATAAACACGTCCCTCGTCACGGTGGTTAAGGCCTCGGTCCAAGTAAAAAAGAAACCTGTCGTCGAATATTTAACGCGAGCGTGATCGTCGCCGATACGCACGAGGATCCAAATTCGAAATTGGGTATGCAAAGATCGTGCAACAAAAAAAGAGGTGTTCGCGGCCGCGCGTCGCGCTCCCTTTTTTCTCAGAAGCAGACCCAGTCGTTGCCGACGCCGATCGTCGACAGCATGTCCGTGACGTCGGGCGTGCAGGAGAACTCGAAATGCGAGCCGCTGCTCGAACTGGCGGTCTCGAACGTGTCCAGATCGGTGGTGATCGTTTCCATGTCGAGATCGAGCTTGAAATCGGACGGCTGTATTTGCAGCAGGTCCGTCAACGAGTACAGGTCCGCCAAGCTCGGATTGTTCTGGGACTCCTCGAGCTTGATCAGGGTGGCGGCGGCGGTGGTGGCGGCAACGGGGCTGGCGGCGTCGGTCGGGCAACCGTCGTCGATGGCGACGTCGGTCGGCAGGCCGTTGGCCAGCTCGCGCGACGTCGACGCCGACGTCAGCGTCGAGGACGCGGCGGTGGTCCTCGAGCTCGATATCGAGGCGAGACCGACGGGGACCGTAGTCTTGGCCGTGGCCACCGAGATCGCGACGGGAAGGGAGGACGCGGGGACCGACGACACAGGCACCGACGACACAGGCACAGACAGCGAACAAGTGGACGCGTGGTCCGAGTCGGCGAGCGAGGCCGGCGACAACGCTTCCGCGTCCGCGTCCGGCTCCGTTTCCACGTCCATTTCCATTTTCATGTCCATGTCCATTTCCATGTCCGCCTCGAGCTCGGCCGGCTCCTCTTTCACCAAGAAGCCGGAGGAACGGCCGAGATGATGATGATGATGGCAGGAGGTACGGCCGCGGTAGCCCCGTTCCGCGATCAGGCTGCTCATTTCGTCGACGGAGGGGGGGAAGGCGATCGTCGCGGCGCTGGCCAGGCTCGAGCCGCCGACCACCGCGCGACCGACCGACGAAAGAAGTCGGTCTTTCGGCTCGAACGTCGCCTCGTACTCCACCTCCAGTTTCTCTTCTCGCTTGATCTCGACGCCGATCTTGGCGGAGGTGGAAGCGGAGGCGGTGGTAGACGCGACGGCGGAGGAGGAGGAGGAGGAGGCGGAGGCGGGGGCGACGCTGGAAGCGACGCTGGAGGCCAGTCGCACCGACGGGCCGCAATCGAGGAAATTGTCTTCGTAGAAGCTGGCGGACTCCGGGGAATCGGGCGCGACGCAGGAAGGACTGCTCGGTATCTTGGCGGTGACGATCGGAGGGGTAGGAGTGTAGTCGAGCGGAGGTCGCTTGTCCAGCGCCAATCTGACCTTCAATCGAGAAACTGGCTTGCTACCATTCGATTGCGGTTGCAATCTCTTGACCGTCGCGCCGACCAGCATGCCGCCGCCGCCGCCGGTGCCGCCTGTGCCACCGGTACTACCGCCACCGCTGCTCGTCGTTTGCATGTTGTTGTTGGTGTCGTTCCGCGTCTGTCCCAGTCCTTTCGTCGCGGCGGACAAGCCCAGGCTCGACGGGACGACGCTGCCGCCGCCGCCGCCCGAGATCGTCGACGACGATTTCCTCGACTTCTTTCCCCCCTCCTTGCTCTTCGGGCTGCTCGCCGAGGCGGTCGGCTTCGAGGTTTTCTTTCGCGGCCGATACTTGTAATCCGGGTATTCCATCATGTGCAGCTGCCTCAGCCTCTCGGCCTCCTCAATGAACGGTCGCCTCTCCGCCTCGTCCAGCGTTTTCCATCGCCTGCCGAGACGCTTGCTGATCTCCGCGTTGTGCATGTCCGGCTGGATCTCGCAGATTTTTCTTCGCTCGATCTGCGACCAGACCATGAACGCGTTCATCGGCCTCTTTATGTGGTTCGGGTTGTTCTTTTTCGTCTGAAACAGAGCAACGCATAACTTTTATTTTATAGAATATATGTTAACTAATAGTTATATAATAATATAGTATACTATAGTATATATACTATAAATATACGCAACAGAGCAACGCATAACTTTTATTTTATAGAATATATATTAACTAATAGTTATATAATAATGTAGTATATAATATAGTATAGTATAGTATATATAATGTAGTATATAATATAGTATAGTATAGTATATATAATATAGTATAATATAGTATAGTATAGTATAGTATAGTATAGTATAGTAATATAATATAATAGTTATATATTAACTAACATTTTATTTTATCTAATCTAATTTACAATGTACATGTATCAACTGTTTTTTACATTACAGAACTAAAAACTAATGTTGATAGAATACAAAATCTGCGAAACGATGCATCGGTAATCCTCGGTACGATTATTTTCGTTTGTCTTCTGGTGCTTGTTCTCTCCGAACCGATTTTCTGCGGTTTCGCGATCGTACGACTTCACGATTACACGCGAATAGGATTCCGCGAGATTTATTTACTTATTTATTTATGCGATATAGAACAAAAGTTAACACTGAACCTCTCTACCTACCGCAGTCGTAACGACCGTTTTTTTTCTTATCTTGCAATATCCCGCAAAGTTTAGAGAGACTCTTTCGTGGAAAATACTTGAATAAATAATAATACTTGGTGACGGCCGCTGCGACGGGCACGGCGCCGCATTAAATAAACAAGAGACGCAGGGACGTAAACCGCGGCCGATCCTTCTATCGCCGACGGGGTACCCTCCGCTCTCTTACAGAGTAATTAACGGCCGTTGGAAGGAAATAGTATCGAATGTCATTTTCTCAGCCGGCCGAACGGCGAGCGTCAAGGACCCACGACGGCGAGGTCTCAATTTTCGGGCGGTCGAACGTTGACTTTCGAGTGGACGCGACGAATAAACAATCACGTACGAACGAGCCTCGATCGTTTCTCCTGTCTCGCTCGCAACACTTAAAAAGATAAAATTCTAAAAACTATAAAGAAAGAGTCGGGAGAAGAAGTCCCGATGAAGATGGTCAAATATCAGAACGAGATTTCGCAGGATTGTTGTGTAATTGTCGAATAATAATACTTGTTCCAGTAACGTAATTTGTTCAAGCATCTTCCACGAAAGTGTTTCTAAACCTTGCAAAATTGCAAAATAAGGAAACGGTCAATATTGACCGCGATCGTGTTCAATGTTAATTGCGGTTATTTTATTCTAGCTAAGCTTTGCATTTATTTTTCTCATTTTTGTAATTTTATAACTGACGGGTAACTAAATAATAATAAATAATAATAATAATAAATAAATAAATTACGCTTTTCGATCTCGATCGTTTCCCGACGGGACGCGAATTGCAAAGGTACGCGTCGACAACCGAGTCGACGGCGTTCGTTTCTTCTCGACAAAAACGAACGAAACGTCGTTTAAAACAGGACTCGGAAGAAATCGAAATGGACGATTCGCGCCTGCCGTTCGATTACTTTCGAACACGCGAGTTATTATTAGATTGCGGATTTTCAACACTTACGAGAAAAGCGTGTAGCTGGAATATGAAATTGTGAAGACGTAAGAGGAATCCAATAATATGGTTACACTATTTTCAGAAGTAATTTGCTTTTATTTTTATTGAATATTTTATTCAAACTTTTATACATTTTTATTTGTAATCAATTTCGCAACATTTTTATTTTCCATAAAGATCCGCAGTCCAGTTATTTTAACACGTATACACGCCGCATGTTATTCCGCGCGCGAGCTTTTCCGCTTTATTATTTTCGGTACTTGACCTATCATCGACGATCGCGCGCGGACCTTCGTATCGGCCGCGAAAAATCGAGAAGTTCGAAAGAGTTACGAATCGGATATGATGAAGGGACGAGCGATTGCGTTCGCGTTACCCGTGGCGCAGACGCGGCCGGGACTCTTCGTAACGTTGCGCGAATTACAGCCGCGCACTGGTTTTCGCGCTGGTGTTATCCCATCTCGTGGCTCGCAACAGGTGCAACGAGGTAACACGCCGATTCACCGAGTAGAAAGTGTTCGTTCGAGCGACTGAAATTGAACGGCGGCTGTTGCGAAAAACGCGTTTCGCCTGACCTTCGGGAAGCGAAAGAGCAAATTACCGTTACGATTCCAACGGTCGGACACCTCGCGAGATATCGAGGATCGTTAAAAATAGCCCCTTCCCCCGCGCGGCTGATCGAATATTTCGAAACGCGAAAGAAAGCGGATTCGTTCGCGGATCCGTAGACCACGTCGCGTCGTAACGCGTCCGACGCGCGCGTATACCGCAAGAGATCGGCGAAGCGATCGCGAAGCGGTCAACGATGATCGACGACGATCGACAGCAAGCGGCTGATTGGCGAGGGAAATCCCTGAAAATCGTGATTTCGCTATCCCGTACGCGGGAGAAACCCGGGTAAAGCCAAGCAAAATCGCGAGGAGATGGTAAACGAACGTCGAAATAGCAGCGAACAACGAACCAAGGACAAAAATAATCTCTTCTTCCGTTCAGCGATGCTTCGTCGTTACCAAAATAAACAGATCGGCAAAGACGCGCGTGGCGCGCAGAGGTTTGTTGCGATTTTACGGGCTCGCCCGACCGAGGACGCGATTTCAACGATTTCCACGATTTCCAGCGCGCATCTTCGTTCAGTGTAAACGTCGACGATTACCGGGACGACGATAACCGTGTTCCTCGATCGCAATCGAGCAGGGACGGGGAGAAATAGATTTTTGAAATAGTTTTTATCTTCTCGCGTAGTTCGGAATTTGGCGAATAACCTAAAAATAGTAGTTATACGCGGAAATAATATTTTCGAACGCAATGAGTACGGAGTAACTTATTCATACATACGATTACTACGTCGAAAAAAGTTCATTTGCCAAATCCTGTATATTGCATGAGAAGATACAAATATTTATAATCCATTTGTTATTTCGAAAATCGATTTTTCCGCAGCGCTGCAATCGAGCAGAGACGGGAGAAACAGATTTTTGAAATAGTTTTTATCTTCTCGCGTAATTCGGAATTTGGCGAATAACCTAAAAATAGTAGTTGCACACGGAAATAGCATTTTCGAGCACATTTAACTACGTACTTATTCGTATACGACTACCACGTCGAAAAAAGTTCATTTGACAAATCCTGTATATTGCCCGAGAAGATACCAAATATTTATAGTCCATTTGTTACTTCGAAAATCGATTTTTCCACGGCGCTGCAATCGAGCAGGGACGGGAGAGATAGATTTTTGAAATAATTTCTATCTTCCGCGTAATTCGGAATTTGGGGAATAACCTAAAAATAGTAGTTGCACACGGAAATAGCATTTTCGAGCACATTTAACTACGTACTTATTCGTATACGACTACCACGTCGAAAAAAGTTCATTTGACAAATCCTGTATATTGCCCGAGAAGATACCAAATATTTATAGTCCATTTGTTACTTCGAAAATCGATTTTTCCACGGCGCTGCAATCGAGCAGGGACGGGAGAGATAGATTTTTGAAATAATTTCTATCTTCCGCGTAATTCGGAATTTGGGGAATAACCTAAAAATAGTAGTTGCACACGGAAATAGCATTTTCGAGCACATTTAACTACCGTACTTATTCGTATACGATTACCACGTCGAAAAAAGTTTATTTGCCAAATCCTGTATATTGCATGAGAAGATACCAAATATTTATAGTCCGAAATATTTAATTCGAATATCTATTTCGAAAATCGATTTTTCCGCAGCGCTGCAACCGAGCCCGAAATATCGCAAATCGAACTAGGAACAACGACATTGGACCGGGAACCGTGACCATGGCAAATAATCGAATTCAAGCGAAAGAGAAGAGAAAAACAACAGCTACCTGGGTAGCATCCGAATACGGTGTCGCTGAATTTTTATCCACGAGCAGCGATCCGAACATAGGTATCCCAGAACTGGTGGGACTATCTTGCTGTTGCGGTACCATTTTCGACGTTTAATATTCGCGACAACTCCGAGGAACCACCTCACTTTTTTTCACTACACACTTGCGCGCGAATCCGGGGATAATATTCCTCGTTCTGCTCAGTTTTCCGGCGTCACCACTCTCTCGCGCAAATAAATCTTTTTTCCCCTCCGAAGAAATTCCACCGCGAAACGAACGATATTCCCGTACGTTTTTCTCGGGCTATCCGACCGTACACGTTATTCCTCGGGACAATAATTTCTTCGCTCGACTCCTTCTCGTTTTCTCGTACAAGCGCTCTTCTATGCTGGGTCTTGTCGGTCGCAATAACGAGCCCCGACTTTGTTTGCCTCGCATGGACAGCGGCACGAAAAAAACTGTGAATGAAACGCGACAGACGATAACACGATGACAACTCATAGGCCGTGACAACGACAACAGCAACACACGGTAGCAGCCCAGCGATAGCAGCAACAGCAGGTAGCGGCGTGGTAGTAGTAACGCTGGCAACGTCAGTGGCAAAGGCAGTGACAAACGGCAGTGGCAATGGCAGTGACAACGGCAGTGAGACGAGATCCAAAGAAGAAGCGAACGATGCGCGTGCTACGAAGCGCTTGCGTTCGAGACGGGGCGCTTGCAAACCTTCCTCTCGCTTTGGACGACGATGCGATAAACACGGGAGAACCAACTGCTGCTCTCGCGGTCGCTGTATCAACGGGCCAACGACCAAAGATCCGACGAGAGCCAATGGGCCAACGAGCAACGCGGAGAGAACCTACGACCGTCCGCAGTAGGCTGCAGGCCGAAGCGCGTTCGCGTTCGCGTTTGCGCGCCTACACGCTGCGCGTGCGAGCACGGAACTGTCGCGGCGGTTTGGATCCTCGGCGAAATCCGCGCGGTCTGTGCGCGTGGCCACGCGCCTTCTCTATCGCGTACACACGATTCTCAAGATCCGACGATTGCTCGTCGATCACGAGATGTCATTATCGCTCGACGACGGCACCGACACAACGACGCAACGACGCTCGCTCGTGGAGCGCTCACTCGCTACTAAATCGCCCTCTCGATCAACTGACTACCTCTATACTGCGCTCAGCTGAGACTCGGCCAGACACCGCGTATCCCCACCGTCTCGCGTAAACACGCTGCCCGCCAGCCAATCCCGACGCGATACTTCGCCCCGCTGCCTCTTCAACCCCGACCGCAACCGTTCGCTCTCATCTCTTCTTCTCTTTTCTTCTCTTCTCTTCTTCTCGCTACTCTTCCTTTTCTCTTCTTTTCCCTCCACCCTCTTCCCATCGCTTATTTTTCTCTTCGTTTCTCTTCTTTACTCCACTCTTCTCTGCTTTTCTCTTTTCCCCTTTAATTATTTTCCCTTCTCTTCCATTTTCTTATTTTCCCTTCGTTTCTCTTCTTTTCTCATCTCTTCTCCTCTCTTCATTCATTTTCGTTTCACCTACATTCCTCGATTTCCTTTTCTTCTCTTCGTTTTTTTTCTTCTCTCTTTCCTTCCCTTATTTTCTCTTTGTTTCCCTTTTTTACTCCTTCATTCTTTTCCTTTATCGTCACTTCATTTCCCTTTTCTTCTCTTCTGTGTTTTCCTACTTCCCTTTCCTCTTCCTTCTTTTCGCCTCTAATCTTTCCTCCTTCGTCGTCCCTCTTTCCTCCCAGCGTGTACTCACCCTCTATTTATCCCCCCCCCCCACCGCCTTGCCCAATCCCGCCGCACTCCACTACCCACCGTCGCGTTCCGTCGCACTCTATCGCGCACTATCGCACTCCGTCGCACTCCGTCACACTCCGTCGCATCCCATGACACACCACCGTCGATCACCCTCCGCACATCTACATACATACTCGCTGACGTACGTCTGTATGTACAGCTGCTTCGGTATACGTGTACAAATAGAAGAAGAAACGCAAAACGTCTTCTCGGGCCGCATACAAATAATTTCTCGAAAGGAAAGTGCAGGTTGTAGAGATATATGTATATGTATATATGTATATATATATTTACGGATTCTACTATGTACATGTGTATATATATACGGTAGAATTCGTGAATCATGCCAATCGTTCGCGTTTCGGAACGCACCATTCCGAATCTTTCTTGCGCGGAAATCACTGCCGCGCGATGGCTGGCTTTGATCAATCGCTGTCATCCACTACTATGCACCAACTAAAATATGTCCTCTTTGCATCGGCAGTCGTTCAAGGTCATATTTAAATCGGTCTCTGCATCGACCCCCACCTGTCCCACCTTGCTTCTTCCTGTCTCCTTCTCTTTTCCCTTCTGTCTCTTTCTCACCGCCGACGCCCCCTCCCTCTCCCCCTTCGTCGTAGTTTCCCCTTCCGAATTTCGGACTCCCCTTTCTTCATCGAATCACGTGTACGAGTACGAATTATCCCGATATTCCAAGGATTTTATCGCGTTCGCGATCGTCTGCACGAGTATCTCGATCGTAATCTATTGTTGCCAGCGTCGACGTCGACGTCGAAGTCGATGCCGATGCCGATACAGATACAGATGCAGATGCCGATCCGCCCAATATCTTGTTTTTCGACGGACGTGTACGAATCGAGAGAGATCGCACGACCGAGGGCCGCGCGGCGCGGTTGCGATAGGAGCATCGCGCGCATTCGGATCAGCGGAATCCTCGTTTTGTTGTTTATTTGCCGATCGTCAAGGACTGCCACGGTCGAATTAAATAGAATCGTGCCACAGCGGAGAGGACGGGGAATCAACGTTGTACACTGGATCGGTGGGTGCGGCTGTCGCCACTTAACCGGATGCTACCTGCAGCTCGAGAATACTAAACGTTCGCGGTCGATGCATTTATTTACGGCAGGAGTTTCCTAGGCGAAGCGATCGTTCCGCGGTCGGCGCGACCTCGCAAACTCGCAACTCCCGGCAAGCTCCGTGGCTCCGCGGCTCCGTGTCCCGGAAAGACGCTCCTAGAAGCTTGCTTGCTCTAGGCGAGCCGTTCTCTCTTCCTTGTTCCTCTTTCCGTTCCGCTCCTGTAAACCTCTCGCTCGAATCCGCCGATTAAACGGAAGAGCGATCGCTGGTACGCGCGGCGGGACAATCGGCGAAACTATTGGGTTGGCAACTAAGTAATTGCCGATTTGTTCAAGGAAAAAAAAAATTTTTTTTTACTTGGAACCAAGTTTAATCTGTAATGTATTTTCCATTTTGTTCGATGACCTTTTGCCATCTCTCTGACAACTTGAAAATTCCATGCTCGTAGAAAGTCTGATCCTTTTCGGCCAAAAACTGAGTTAAGTGAGATTTTACAGCGTCGTCATCATTAAAAGTTTTACCACGAAGGGAGTTGTCCAGGGATCGAAATAAGTGGTAATCCGATGGCGC